ATGTAATTACCGGTAATTCAGAAAATCTTTTCAGGACCCCACCTTGATGTTTCRGGACCCCACTTTGGGTCCCGTCCCCAACTTTGGGAAACAGTGAGCTAAAGTAATGGAACACTAGTTAAAATAGCTGAAAAAGCTACAGGCTAAAGGGAGCCAACTGCTAGCCAAAAATAGAAAAAGACTAGCTAAAAGTTGCAAAATACTATCTTAAAACAAAAAGTACAAAAATGTTTGCTAAAAACAAAATGTACCAAAATGCTAGCTAAAGAGTAAAAGTTGCAAAAAGCTCACTAGGAGCTAAAGCTAGCAAAAGGCTAACTAAAGAAAAGTTAAAATATGAAATAATCAAAGGGCACAATAGTGTGAATACCGAGTCAGCATCTAAAAAGATTTTTTAAATATTTCTTAGACAGTTGAATTTTAAGGAAGTGCTGACTGAGCAGCTGGATAGATGTTGCATCAGCTTCACTTTGGGAGGTAAAACTGAGCTGACATGGCTGCTGTCTGAAGATGAGGTTGTTTAAGATGAAGATGCCTTGAAACTAAACCCGAGTTTCTGTGAAGATGCTTCACAAACGACTGGAAGATGTCTGTAAAAAGTCCAAAAAGTCCAGATGAGGTGTTCAACAAAACTTAGCCCTGGACCCAAGTTAAACACAGATTGACATCACAACATTATGACAACACTGCACACACAGCTGTGTTTCACAATGAAGGTGGTGTGTTCAGGGTGATGTGCAGTGTTAGTTTTCCACTTAGTATTTTAAATTTAGGCCCAAAGGTTCAGCAGGTGTCACCTTTTCTCTGTATCTCTATCTGTTTAGTGCTGGACAAGAATTCAATATCCATATATATGGTCTGTTTKCCTTTCCTCTTTCTCTCTGTTGGTCTCTCTCTTTTTTCATCTTCTGTCTTTCTCTTCTCTCCCTTAAGTCTGTCTTTTTATCCACCGTTGTCGAGGCGGGGGACTTACAAATGCTCTACCTCTGTCCATCTTTTACTATTTCAGACAGCTGAAACTTTCACATAGAAAGGCTAAAATACACCAAACTTGAAACAAGTCATCTATGTTATATGCCCRACCATACCATGTGGTCATATGACATCAAAAAAACTCTGCCACCTGACAACAGGAAGTGGACATTTTTTTTTGCCCTGGAAAGCTCCATCTCTGACCCTCTTGACCTAATCAGCATCAAATTGTGTCAGAACACAGATAAWAAGTTGATCTCACTTACTTTCAAGCACAAACACTTTTTGGTGAAAGGCGTGGTCATGGTGGTACGTCGAAGTCAGACATGATGCCATCGACATACGTTTGGCTCTAAATTCCACATATTTCAGCCAGTCTACACCAAATTCACAATGATTGATCCTAATCCACCCCACTACAGGAATGCTGTCTAATTTCTGGTGGGTGTGGGCTAATTAATCCACAGCACCCCCTATAAATATTTAAAAAATGAGCCCCAAGCCAATGCTTGGACCTGGAATCATGAAATTTGGTACACGTGTAACGTTTCAGGACCTACAAAAAATGGTCTTGGGGTCCAATYCCCACTGGAAGTCAGCTGTTTTGGATCAAAGTTGCCAGTTTGTCTCTTCTCTTGCACATGTATCTGAGCTAACTCCCCCTACAGCTTTGATCCTGCAGACTCACATGCTGCATGCTTCTCTCAACACTGAATGATGGCGGGATGGTGTGGGTGTGGCAGAGTGGTGAATGCTGATGCCTCGCCGTTTGCACACAGTTACCTCTAAATCACACATACATGATCCGATCTGCACCAAATTTTGTGCGCATCGTAAGGGAGACCTGCTCAAAAATATATGTACAGTATAGTAGTTTGACAAGATTCCTTTAGCCCCCCCGTCCGTCTCTTAACCTTATGAGATGATTTAAATAATGAAGGCCTGTCATGATTCCAACAAAACTGCTAACAGTTGGTCACTGCTGGATAGAGATGGGGGACACCAGCAACGTTTGGCGTCCTATTCTATCTTGTCAGTGTGCACACTATTGTGATTCGTTTCCCATCCAAGTTATCTCCACTTTGGCACGCTTCTCCTCCTGCATACTTTGTCCTAGAGATGCCATTGTAATTTATACCTGTAAAGCTCCTGTGTCAAATGATTGCTATGCCTTTTGGTGCCTGCACAACTTATAGTTTTTTGAAATATTAATGTTTAAAATCAAATAATGGGAGTCAATGGAGCCTTGCATTGGTCCAATACTGCCCTATGCTGTATCTACTCAGTACTGCACCATAGTTTAATAATATTTAAACTCAGTAGTTCAGTGTTTACAATACAAACATGATTGTATTTTGATATTTCACTTTAATATTGTCCTAATATTCCTTTATTGTTGTAATATATCACAGTTTAGTGTCAACAATTGCATTGGCAATTTGGCCTCTTTCAGCACACATACAAACTTAACACTGGGAGAGCCTACTGCAACAGCTCATAGTCTCATGGTGAACACTATGGGCTTTCATGCGGGAGATCAGGGTTCAATCCCAGCCATAAACATAATGTTTCACTACTACATATTTTCTAATTGTCATATTCTCACACAATTACCCTCAGTACAAACAACTGCTGACTTGGCGGGCACAAGCTGGTACTTGATTAGCAAACACATTTCAACTTGGTCACAGTTCAAGCTGCAGGCAATGGCATGCTACAAGGCAATGCACACTTGTTTATACATCGTAAAAACCCGTGTCTAGTTTCCATTTGTTTTTTCCTTAGCTTGTCTTTCTTTTTGTCTCTCTTTYCCTCTCTGTTTGTGTCTCACTTCATCTGTCTCTCTTCTGTCCTTCCTCATTCATTCTGGACTCAGCAYGTCACATTCAGCGGTGCTTCCTGTTCTCACTCTGCTCCTTTCACTCCAACCCTCTCCTCATTACCTCCTTATCCTCGGGTTGTGGCGTGGRTGGAGTAAGTTTGTTGTTTTGTTTTTCTTATGGGCTTTAGGTGATTTGCTGATATATGTTTTTCAGCAGCAGCGTAWTCTAGGGTGAACCGCTCAGTTTGGRATTGTGAAAACCCCCAAAAAACAGGAAGCACTGAATGCACCAGAGGGTTTTTTTAACACTCTGTAGACTTACTGGTTGGATCTTGACCCTGTAGGTTGCACGTGTGTGTAGATGWGTGACAGCGGCGTGTGTGAGGACAAGCCCCCCGCCCCCCCTCTCAGGATGAGCAGCCAAGGAGGAGGAGCCAAGGACCCCCAGTCAGCCAACCACAACTCTCGTCCGCTGCCGTCTGCACCAGAGGAGAAGAAGCCCAGAAACAAGATCATCTCCATATTTGCGCCTGACAAAGGTGCAACATTTAGAGAACACACACACGTTACTCAACACACACGTCCAACTTCCTGTAACACAGTCATGTGAGGGAAGGGCACATTGACCTTTGACCTTTTCTCGTGCAGGAAGCAAGAAAAAAGACAGGCCTGAGATTTCCTCTCCCTCAGACTTTGAACACACCATCCATGTGGGCTTTGATGCTGTTACCGGAGAATTCACGGTAAATCTCTACCCTTTTGTGCATTATGGTTTATATATTTATTTAAAATATATATATTGATTATAATTTGCTGTGTAATATTTTTTGTTAGTTAACTGAAACATTGGGTTAGCAATGTTTGGCATAAAATAAGCAACAAATAAATTTGTTTGCTGGATGTGTTTTGATAAACTACCCAACTAATTTGATCATTAAGTTTAATACTTATTATTTAGAGGTAATCCTATGAATTATTTTTGTCACGTGTGACTTAAACTTTCCCCCACTTTACTCTTGCAGGGATAATGATAGCATAAGTGTCAACACAACAAACTGTTAAAATCAGAGACCGCAACTTAACCAATGAACTCCATTTAGTGTATCTCTTTGTCCATAACGAAATTGTTTTTAATGAAATACAAAGTCGCCGTGCATCATTTGCTCTGTTCCTACCTTGTTTTGCAGCATAAATGTGCATCAGGGGTGGGTTGGCTGAAACCCCCTTCACAGCCTTGGCTCAATAAGAAAAGCCAAAAGGCATCTAAAGACCTCTGCATGGTCCATCCCAACCTGTGATATCTGCTCTCATTGATGTAGTTTAGTGATGAAAATTACGCCATTTTGTTCTAAACTTTGTGTCGCCCGCCCAGTCTTGGTCTGGGCCGAACGTTTCGCCACGCTCCACATACAAATTTATTGTGTGATTGGTCAAAAGTTCGTGGGCGTGTTTGTTTAGGCTGAAAAGCGCTTGGACATGGGAATGGCGGCATTTTGCATCAACTACTCCGCTTCCCGAAGCCAACTGTTRGACCTGCAAGCAGACACTCATAAAGAAAGTCAAATGACCTTAAACTCATAGGTGGAGAGAACACAAAYGTTACCCATGGAGGAATCTGTCTGYCAAAAGGTGTGGTGCTTTAAAAATGACWAATCTGTGGCCATATCGAAGTGGAGATCCCAGAGGGAATAAACCTGTGCTGTGACGTGTATAGCAGGATGTATACTGACAATAAAGCACACATCACCATAGTTTCCACTTTATAATCCCTTCATAACAGTGTGGACAGTAGGTCTTAAAAGCCCCCCTGTTCATTGGGAAATAACTCGATATGTCACCACTAACTTCCAATGTCCAGAATTTAAGCAGAAATGTTTTTCGGTGCTACTATGATGTATTTTTTTTTCTAGCCTGAGCTTGTGCATCAGGAATGTAGGTCTGTACCATTGATACGGAAGTCCCGCCTACACACCCCTCCTCTCACTGACAGGCTGTTGAATTGTCAATCGTAGTGTAATATAACTTAAATAACTGATTTAAACAAAGCAAATTTATAATTTACACATTTGAACATGAGAACTACACAAATCAGCAAAACGTCAGGAGCTTAAAAAATGAGCTGAAGTGAATTCAAATATTTTAGTGAAGAAAMTGTCCTATTTGTTTACACAGAGGGGCGAGGCTTATAAATTGTGCTCCAGCCAGCCACTAGGTGGTGCACGGACTTTTAGCTTCAGTTTCCTGCTTCTGGTCCTCTGGCTATATTAGCCTATAGTCAGTACCAGGTAGGGATTTGACAGGGCCATTTTATTCATACGCAAAGCATTCTGGGTAAATGATGACATCAACTAGGTCATCGGTGCGAGGCTGCCAGCGAGCTATATCCACCCTGAAGGTTAATCTTGGACAATATCTGATGATTGACACTTTTAAATGAAATCAGAGAGCGTTGACAGAGAGGAGAAGGTAGAAATGACTCAGCGTGTAACTGAAAATATGGATGGAGGACAACAGAGCTGCTTCATGGAAGAAGAACCTCAGCTTAGCCTGTTAGCTTTAGCATTAGCCCAGATGCTATCACCATATATATGTGCGCTACACATTCTCGTCTCGTCTCTGAGGTCCTCCGTCCACATGACAGATAGGAAGGTAGAAATGACTCAGCGTGTAACTGAAAATATGGATGGAGGACCTCAGTTTAGCTTGTTTGTCATGCTAGTGACGAGCTAATACATATAAGGCAATATAGCGTGAGGGCTAGCGCGAAGGCTAACAGGCTAAGCTGAGGTTCTTCTTCCATGAAGCAGCTCTGTTGTCCTCCATCCATATTTTCAGTTMCAGGCTGAGTCATTTCTACCTTCTCCTCTCTGTCAACGCTCTCTGGTTTCATTTAAAAGAGTCGATCATCAGATATTGTCCAAGATTAACCTTCAGGGTGGATATAGCTCGCTAGCAGCCTCGCACCGATGACCTAGTTGATGTCATCATATACCCAGAATGCTTTGCGTGTAAATAAAATGGCTCCATCCGTGTTAAAATATATTTAAAAAAATTTACAAAACTAAACAGACTGCAGTATTTTTACAGTCTTTATTTTACAGTTAAAATAAATGTTTATCACATAAAGTTTAATGTTACAACTAATCGTGGATCCCTTGAAGAACTTTCTTGGTGTAGAGATTATGAAACCTTTTTTAAAGAACTCTTTTGACATACTGTATTCAACTTTTTTTAGATAGTYCATGGCCTTACAGCATAATTCTTCAAGGAAAATTCATACATGTCAAGTTGTACGGATTGTCTGTAATTTACACAGACTTTCCATCATTTTGCAGGTATATGGGTGTATAGGGAAATCTCACTGATTTTTTTCAAGTTTAACGGATTTTTTCAAAACCTCAGTTTCAAATTYATTTAACGTGCCAGAGCCTGTAGGATGTTAAAAAAACAATAACATCAAATGACCATCTTCGAACCTGTTCTGCTGCTAGTAATGAGACTAGTAATAAGTTCTGCACTTACTCCTGCGTGCTTTGCAGCAGGAGCTGTCATCTTCATGTCCGACAGCCCCGCCCCCCAGTATCGGAATCGGTATCGAAATAAGCGATTCTAGCACAATATTTACTTGGTATTGGATGGATACCAAAATTCCCTGTATCGCCCGCCCTTACTTTCAAACTACGTTCAGACCGAACTCTGTCTACTGAACTGCTGCTGACGTCATTATGCTCTTGTGCGATGCTGCGTTCAGGACAAGCATGGAAAATCTCCCACTCTTACGCCAATACGGCTACAATGATATGTTTAGTTACCGAAACATGGTTTGATGTTACGTGAACAGGTTCTCGGTAGTACTGACAGAATTCGGTCGGTACTTTAAAAAGTATCGAATTCGGTACCCATCCCTAGTACCAGGTGCCAGTATAAATAATAATAGTAAAAAATGTTGTTAAAGCCTTTTATTCTTCAAATTTGCCCATTTTATATAGCTTTTGAATATTTGAAAATGACTGCTTATTTCATTAATTAACATTTCGTTAAAGTCACACTTAATGTATTAAAAAAAGGACCAGCTGATATCATTTTAACATATTTGTGTGGTGCAGTTTTTTTATTAAGTAATAAATGTTGGAAATGTTTTGTCTATAAATAAGAAAAGTTGTCGACACTTGCTTTTTTTGTTGCGTCTAACTCAGGCACCACATGAGCAGAAGTTTCAAATGTAAAACGTCAGCTGCACTTGCAGCTGTTTCTGTAGATCTGTATTTCTTTTTTTCTGCTGCTGCAGCCACACATAAAGAGAAGCTGGAGTCGATATTCCAGAAATGTTGATCTTATCTCTGGAGGATTTCACCGTGAAGACGCAGGGAAAGTCCCAACAATTTCCTGTTGGTTTTGTTGTAAAAACCTATGAGCCAGGATTGCGGCATTTTTAACTGAACAGCTGTAGTTAAACTATGAATTTGTTAAAGTTATGAGGTCAAAATCTTTTCTTCATTTTAGATTATACAGCTGAAACTAAATATTGCTGTATTAGTTCCTTATTCAGACGTTTTTGTTTATCTGGTGTTTTAATTTTCCTTCCTTTGATGTGCAAATGTAGATCAGAGTGTTTGTTGTTTGCAGGGCATGCCTGAGCAGTGGGCCCGTCTCCTGCAGACCTCCAACATCAGTAAATCAGAACAGCAGCAGAATCCCCAGGTTGTCCTGGATGTCCTCAAGTTCTACGACTCCTCCAGTGGGAAACAGAAATACCTCAGTTTTTCTGCCTCGGGTCAGTTTCCTTCCTGTCAGCAGCTCTGTCTGTGCACACTCTGACTCTATCATGTCTTTAAACTTTGGTTTCCATTTTTTTTCTCTTCTAGATAAGAGTTCACAGTTGGTGAGAAGCTTTATTTAATATTTATTTTACCAAGTCATGACTACTTACGTCCAGCAGAGTGAATATCTGTCATTTTGTTTTATTTGCAGCCAGGTAAACAAGGTACGGCCACGTCACCTTCAGGCAARGATGGGGATGATGATGATGACGATGCTCCGCCTCCAATTGTTGCTCCACGGCCAGAACACACCAAATCTGTGAGTGCCATATTTATTTATGCAAATAAGACAGACAGTGTTCCACTTCACTGATTTACTGCGTGACACATGAAGTTATTTATGAGAGTTTTATTAATGGTCTAAGCCTGGGGTCTGCAGTCTGCACACATTTCTGCTCCTTCTTTCACAAAATAAAACGTGACCAAGGCTTCAAAACTAAATTTGATTTAAATAAAGATAACACAATTTGATGAGTTTATTAAAATAAGAATACTAGTGTGTTACATCATCGAATTAAAAAAAAAAATAAAAATCAAAACTTATAAAGAGTAAAAAAAAGGGGTACTCAGCCTTAAATAAAACTTAAATACTGATCCATTCAGGCTGAATAATACAAATATTCCAGTTTTTTTGCATTCCAATAAATACATTTCTTAACTGATTTGTACAATTACTCCAGGCTTTGATAAGTTTTTATCAAAGACTAATCTAAATTTTAATTTTCAACAAAATAAGAATGTTTTTCTATATATTTGCTTAATGTACGTAAAGTTAAATTAAGTGGCTAATAGGCTAACACACTACTAGCACAGACTGATCAACCTGTTTTGCTCCTTGTCTAAATATTACTAAAATAATATTTTCTGTTAAAATAAAGTGTTAGTTTTGAACACTGAATGGATGTATTAAAATATTAAAAGGAACTGAAACTGGTTGAGTAAATTTCAACCAGAGACTAAACTGCAGTTAAAAATTAAAATTAGCAAACCTGAGGCTGAAAGCTAAAGCTGCTAATAGCTGAAATGAGTGAAACAGTAGTTAAAAGCAAAAATTAGCAAAACTAACAAAAATTTGCATAACAGGTTCTATATTAGCAAAACTGTAGATGAATGTAGTTAAACAAATGCTGATGCTATAATCAACAAGTAGCTAAAATGAGGTAAGCAAATGCTAAAGCTAAAACAACCAATTTTTTTGTGAAAATTTGCAAAACTGTAGCTAAAAGCTCAAAGAAGCAGAAAGATTTCTAAAAGTAGCAAAACTTAAGGTAAAACCTAAAAATAGTGTAAAAAGACAAAAAGCTTGTTTGCTGCTAAGGCCACAGATGATTTAGCGGCATATTACGATGGATGTCTTCATGTCTCTGATGTTCCACAGACATGGACACGTCAAACATTACGATGAAGAAACAGGTGTTTGAACTCCCTTCACCCGTCTGCGTAGTCTCTGCTGCAGGTCCCTGTCCCGTCACTCCTCAGCCCCCTCCACATACTCATCTTTAGCACAGATGACCTCAGAACTAGTGAACAGTATTGAAGTTATATAAACAAAAAGTCACATCACAATATTACTGATTAAGATCAGTGTTTTGGTTAAAAAAAGCACAAAGTAAGCAGAAGTAGTTTCGATTACAAAAAAAGAAACCAAACATTCAGCAGCTCGCTATCACTCAGTCTGTCACATAAAGTTTATACACAGGCAGAAACTTGGACAGGACTATGGCTAAAACTAGCCTGTCTAGTTGTGCTTGTAAATATAAATATTTTTGGTGAAAGTCCCAAGAGCCCCATCAGGTTGCAGACCCTTGGTCTACAACTCCTTCACTATGATCTAGAACAGTGTTTCCCAAAGTTGGGGTCGGGACCCAAAGTGGGGTCCCGAAACATCAAGATGGGGTCCTGAAAAGATTTTCTGAATTAATGACATTTTTGCTTTAGTTGCTACAAAGGAGTGAGGTTAGTATATTTAAAATGGATAAATGTAGTATAAAAATATTGTTACTATGCCC